GTTGGTTACTAATATAATTCAACTTCGAAAAATAATTTAATAAATTAAGTTTTTTATCGTTTCTAAACTTATTTTTTAAAAAATTAATAACTACTTTACTTGTTCAATTGAATATTATTTTGAAAAAATTGTAATTGTTCTAATGTTAAATAATTAAATCAATAAACTTTCATTATTAATCAAATCTCTTTCTCAATAAATTTGAGGTTGACTAATGAATCAAAGTAAATAAACTTTTTAACTTTTTCTTCCCAAATTTGTTGGTTGAAAATGAGTAAAATAAAAAGGTGTTGTGATGACTGAAGCCATATTTATATGAACTAATCACATAGTGTATTACTAGATATATCATTATTTTAATCTCAATTTTTATTTTTATTTTTTAAAAGGACCAATTTGGGCTGCAAGCATTTGAAATATAAAGGTCAATTTGATTAGTGTTTTTAACATCATTTTGAGTTCATTTTCAATTTTCTGCTTTGAGAGACCATTTTAAAATTGCTAAAAACGTATTTGGTTTGTCATTTTAAAAAATTATTTCTCAAAACAAAAAACTAGAAAAGAAGTTTGGCTTGAAATTTTAAAAAATTGTTTTATGATATTTTTATTCAATGGAATTTGATTATTCAATAAAGATAGAACTATTTTATGTTAATATATTATTAAATAATGTTTACATTTTAAAATTGTTAATCTTATAATATTTTTTTTCGCTATAAAAGTAAAATAAAAGCAAATGATAAACCGAGTTTCAAAATATAGGAAATAAAAATAAAAATTTAAGAAGAAATAATTTTCAATACGTCTCTGCTTGACAATGACCATTAACAAAATTCAATGATAAACAATGCCCACTGTTAGAATATATCTTCCTAAACACGTATCCACTCATAGACAACTATATATCGCACTTTCTCGCAGAGTTTCAATACAAACAATAAAAATTTGGTAAAATCAGAAAATAAAAAGAAGAAAAGTTGTGAGACGTTCACCAAAAATATTTTGTACAAAGAGGAGTTATTGTAATCAAATTATTACATTTCAATTTATTCAAAATTTTTACATTATATATATAATTTAAAAAAAATTAAAATTATTCGTATATGTTCTTCGTAACAAAATTAATTTTTCTTTAATAATATCAATTACCTAAATTACTTTCAAAAATTGTATCAGTACTCCAAAAATATTATTAATATCATTCATCTTATACATAAAAAGTGAAACACACGTGCTTACTGTTAGTTCCCAAAAAAATGGAGCTCAAACAGAGCCTTAAAATTATATATATAACAAAAAACTGTATTATATCTTCACGATATGTTCCTAAGCGCAAGATAAGCCTTAACATAATGGGCGAATCTACTCTTCGTCGAATAGATATTTTCTTTTTTCAGTATTTCAACAAATTGAAATAGTGGCAAAAAAGCCATGCGTCTATAAAAGTAAGATGTTCTTCGTGCTAATTTTGAAAAAGAGATTTACTTGCAACATTCATCGTGTTTTGAGGTACAAGGAAAGAAAATAATAGTGTGCGAAATTCAGTAGAATTTGTACGATTTAAAGAAAGCTCAGGACAGTGATATAAAATGTGTGATGTGTTTATGTATATTAATGATTTCTTTCAAGGTGCCTAGTTGATCATTGTTGTAGTGTCAAAGAAATTGACAACCACCAAATGGCGAAGAGTTTGTCAAGTCTGGACAAAGCCTTAAAATTATATATATAACAAAAAATTCTATTATATCTTCACGACATGTTCCTAAGCGCAAGACGAGCCATAACATAATGGACGAATCTACTCATCATCGAATAGATATCTTCTTTTTTCGGTATTTTAACAAAAGGAAAGAATTGACTATGGTGAAAAAAATTTGTCCACCACTAAAATTGACTAAAATTACGGACCTACTTGAAACAATGGCAAAAAAGACATGCATCTATAAAGTTAGATGTTCTTCATGCTAATTTTGAAAAAGAGATTTACTTGCAACATTCATCGTGTTTTGAGGTACAAGGAATGTGACCCGGTTTTAGCCCCTTGTGCACATCTCGCATTACTTAAAAATATGCCTTTGATAAATGGTTGAGATCGTGCCACTTGTTGTCGGCTGGACCGTTGGATGTAAGTGACCTTTTATATACCCTGACTTCTCCTTTTCTGAGGCATAATTTGAGAGACTTCTAGGGTTTCAATGAGTCTTGTTCTTTGTTCGTCCTCTTTCTGAAAACTCTTGGTTTTCATCTGTAATCCTTTAGTTCTAGGTGTTCTTAGTGAGATCTAATATAGATTACAGTGTTCTTGTGATGATTCTACTCACTGATTGAGTATTTGGTATAGGTTACTTTGGTGTAATCTATGTGAGAAAGAATTCGTGTGTTTTCCAAGTCTGAGGATTAGATCTTTTGGATCTCTTGTGCTATAATTCTTAAACACTTGATATTTTTCTTGGTTCTAGTGGATTGGAGCCATAACCATTTAAGGTGAATGCTCAACGTGGTGATTAACCCTTTGTGGGTGAACATCCAGATCTAAGGGCGAAAAATCGTGGTGTTCTATTATTTTCTGTTGTTGTTTTGATTACTTTTGGGATTGAAAATACCTACACTTGTGTATGTTTATGCATGTACATAGATTCATTTTAAATGTAGAATAAAGATCGTAGTTAAGTGCATAGCTATCAATATATGTATATGTGGATTTTATATAACTTGTCTTTTATATGTTTTAGTATATGTACGTCCAGTGTAGATGTATCTATGCATGTATTTGCACACACACGGTTACAATTTTGGTTCTCAGTGTGACTTCCTAGTAGTATGACCGTAGGAGTTTTTAATTCTATAGATTCATAAAAAATTTGAGGTTATGGCTTATGGCAGAGAAAATTTTTGTCAACCTAGACTAAAACATATAGATAACTGAAAGTTTAGAGAAGCAATTGCGGTCCTTGGACCTTATCTGAAACGTATTTGTTGTTTTTATGGTTTCTGACATGTTAAGACTCTTTGGGGTCTGCTCAGACTACATTTAGGAACAAAATGCATTTAATGCAAAAAAAAAAAAATGTTGTTGATTTAAAACTTTAAGTTTGCAAAAAAAATAAAATAATAAATGAGTGAGTGGTTTGCCTAATTTCGACGGCATCTCTGGAGATGTCCACTCGTGTTGTGCACCAATGATATGCTCTACTGAGCTACATACTGTGGTTGATTTAGCGGATCTGAGAAACTTCAACAGCTAATAACAACATTCTGCAGAGAAAACAACTTCCTCTTAGTAGAATGTGAACTTTTGTATAAGATCTAAGTTGATAAGTGTTCATGAGGACTGTTAAGCAATGTAACATGTATATTGCTTTTTATATTTGTAGAAATATGGACGTGAAGTTAAGAAAATACTGAAATTGGGTGTTCCATAATCTTAAACTCTCTTAAAACTTGAGAAATATGTAGTGGTGATTTGTGGATGATTTCTTTATAGTTGAATCCATAACATACGTTAGTGATTCTTTTTTGTTACCATTTGTGCTCTTGTGTGGATGCCTAATCTTATAGAATATAGGCATTTTTTGGACTGATTTGCACTGTTGGGACTGTTTCTGCCAGTATCAATGGTTTATGAGTTGGTTAAACATTTGCTTATCCCATTCTAGAAATAAGCTTAATGACATAATCACATTTTATGAAGTTGTTTTACAGCTGGCTTGGATTAAGTAACCATAGAAAATAGAGTTAATGAAACTTTTGGTTCATATCTGAGATTGTTCCACATATGCTCAAAGTTTATATTTATTTAAAGTGGATAATTAACATCGTGATATTTCTTTTGTAGATATCCTGGATTTTAGATGTTTGTCAATATCACCAGGTATTGTTTTAAAAATCGCATGCTGACTTTTAGGATTCTATCAGAAATGCAATTATTGATTCCTGCATAAGGGTGACAGACGATAGGAGAGAGCATTCAAAGAAAAGTATAGACCCATTTCCTTTTTACTTTACAGTGATAATTTTCCGATTTATATGATAACCAAATCAATTTGCTTTCCTTTTCAATTGGTTGAGTGACACTTTTTTCCATTTTCCAATTTTCAGGTTTTCTTCATTTTCATGCTTTATAACACTTCCAATCACAATGATCAACTGAAGGTTTGCAAGCTTTTTATTCCAACTGTTTACAACCGTTGTTTTTAACAACATAATCAATCAAAATCTTGTAATTTATTGTTGGGGGCAAACAGTCCTGAAGAAGCTACAAGATGGATTCAGTCATTTCAAAAAGCTGCTTTGACGGTCAAAACTGTTCTATTTTATTAAATTAGAAGATATATTTTAGATGATTATGGATAACTGCAGCCCGCTTGTGTACCACGGTCATTTGGGTATGTAAGCATTATTTTTTATGTTTATTAATGGAGAAGATGAATGGCTCATTTTAAATTGACTCATTATAAATTGACTACTCATTTAATATGTCTTTCTAAAATTATCCAGTGACACAAGATGACAGCAACAGTAGTTGTGGAATTGTGAAATATAATGTGTTCACGATATTTTTTCTTTATTTAACTTAATCATTTAAAGTATTTTCAGATTCATGTTGCTGCTACTGTTACTTATGGACAAAGTTGATGGCGGGAAAAAGGGGTGAAATGGGTGAGGACAATTTTACCCTTGTTTATGGAAAGAAAAATGTATTTTTGTATTTAATTAATGGAAAAACTGATGGAATATGGACGGAAGGATGTCCAGCACAAAGAAAGGTTGAAATGAGGGCAAAAATGTCAAAAAATGAAAGGTAGGGACGTTTTCCACAATAGACTTGAAAGGTAGGGACGTTTTGTGCCAATTACCCTTTAATTAACGGAAAAACTGAAGGAATATGGACGGAAGGACGTCCAGCGCAAAGAAAGGTTAAAATGAGGGCAAAAATGCCAAGAAATGAAAGGTATGGACGTTTTCCACAATAGATTTGAAAGGTAAGGACGTTTTGTGCCAATTACCCTTTTTTTTCCAAATGATTTGAAAGTTTTCAACTCGTTCCATTCAACAGAAGTGAGTTCCAGTCTTCTTTATGTTGACCTAACTGCTTATGTTCTTTATAGGATAAACCACTATAATAAAAACTCACATTCCATTGACTGGACTCTCTGTTCATCATTAGTTACCGATGCAATGACATTTGATGTTGTTGCACCATCACCCTCGAAAATCTTTGATTGTTAGAATGGTATAAATTAAGTTAAAGGTGTACCTTGCAAGATGGTTGAAACGGTTTGTCTAGCGTGTCTAATACTTGTTTAATGTAGGTCTCCAGTTATTCAAGGAGGCCAGAGATAGGGAATTTCAATTAAAGGTTAGTAGTCAAATGTTAATACAAAATTTGAAGTCTCTGAAACTTTCTCTTGTTATTTTTTTCCTTAATTTGTAGTGGGATGATCATCCTGCAATTATGGCTGTTGGTGTCGTCGATGGAATATCAGAGCCATTTTCTAAATTCTCATGTCTCTTGGTACATCAAGATCAGAGTAAGTTGCAAACGATGTTAGAGAAACAGAATTGTGACTTCAGTATGGAACGTTTCACTCAAACTCGAAATATGAGTAATAGTATCTTTTGTGAATCCATTTCCAAATAAAATTATTATATTTGGGCTGCAAATTTTTGTCCGTGCTCTTCGTCGCAAATACCTTTACATATAAAAATGTTATTGATCATATGTGAAGCTTCCAATAGAAGCCACGTGGAGGCAGCACGTACACATGCGTGACAATCAACACACGTGGCAGTCAACCCAATAATAAAGAAGGATTCAAGGGCTGCCTTGTTTGCTGAGGTGCTATCCCCATCAAAGTTCTATTGCTGAAGCACTCCCACCCCTAAAATCGAACTCCTTCATGTCCGAGGCTCTCTTCGTCCTCTATAACTGAAGTGATCATATTCTCTAAAGCAAGTCTGATAAGTGTATCTTTAGGAACAACTAATGTAACGTTTGCAGTAATAGATGTCGGATATGTCAGCTTAGAAATGTAGGGTGGCTGACCTCATGTCAAATGTATTTGTCAATATAATTAATATAAAACAGAATGATGTAACTGTTGGGAATCTACTTATACATGCACAGCGGAAAATTAAATTATTTCGATTCCCATCCAATAGATCTCATTGTGTTTGG